CTCATTACTACTTCTTTTAGGTTTTCTTTTTCAAACATTTTGTATTTTCATGCTTTCATATGTCTCTTGTTTGTTTGTTTTACAGTCTCTTCTTATTGTTTATTTTTAGTTATTATGTGTACATAATAATCATATTAATATATCTTTATAGGGTACAGGTGATGCTTTGATACAGGCATACAATGTGAATTAATCAAATCAGGATAATTGGGGAATCCATCATCTTAAGCATTTTTCATTTCTTTGTGTTGGGAACATTCCAATTCCACTCTTTTAGTTATTTTAAAGTATACCCTGACTTATTTTTGAGTATAGTCCCTTTGTTGTGCTATATTGAACATTATGAATATTATTCATTCTGTCTAATTATCTAACTATATTTTTGCACCCATTAAACACTTCCACTTTATCTTGCACTCCCTGCTACCCTTCCAGCCTCTCGTAGCCATCATTCTACTTTCTATCTCCAAGGGAGCAATTTTTTTTAATATTTAGCTCTCACATACAGATAGCACGTAGTTGAAAATTACTTATCTTTTCCCTCCTCTCTTGTTTTCTTTTGTGTTCTTAGACATTTTCTTTCCATACCTACTCCACTCCCATATCTTTTATGTTACACATTCTGTTTTTATTCTTTAATTGATGTAGACATTTTAACATTAATGAAAATAATGATAAGCAATAATACATAAAGCACCACTATGGCCCAGATATTGTTCTGAGTACTTTACATATATTACTACATGCAATTATCTCAGAAACTCTATGAAGTGGATATTGCTATTCTTCCCACTTTGCAAATGAGGAAACTGAGTCACAAAAAATTAGGCACAATTTTCAAGGTTACATAAGTTGTAGGTCTTGGATTTCATAGGTAGACACCTATCATTGTCTACCCTCTCCCTTCCTCAGACCAACACAGGAACTTGAATTACCTCCTCCCAAATTATTTGCTATTCTTTAAAATTTAATTCTATACTTTTAAGCTCACAGTCATTTTATTACTTTTTTATTTATCAATATTTATTTAGAATTATTTATAATTTTATTACTTTATTTTTTTATATCATTTTTTACCTCAAAGCTTCAATCTAGGATTACTGTAACTCAGCAGAAACAGTGATTTGGGATGGTGAAAATCTTTTGATAGAAATACTGCTTTTATTTATCTGAATATTTTTATGAAAATTAGTCTTGGTATGTCACTTTAAATTAATTTTTTTCTTTAAACATTTTGAAAATGTTATTCCATGTTTGGGCTTCCATTGTTGATGTTGAGAAGTCAGCTAGCAATCTAATTATTATTTGTTAATAGAAATCCTTTTTTTTTTCTCTTTCATAGGACATTTGAACTTTGTCTGAATTGTGTAGTTTTAGTACAATGCGAACATATGGGGATTTTTTTAATATATATCTTACTGAGAGTCATTTGGTTTTCTGAATCTAATGTTTGTTCTTTTGTAAAAATGTATAGTAAATTTATTCATTTATTCAACTATAGATCTCTCCATTTCTCTCATTTTTTATTGAGGTGATTGAATAATATTAGATTTTCTCATTCTCTTTTTTATGTTCTGTAATGTTTTATGCTTTCTATTTTCTTGTTTTTCTGTTATATAATCTGACTGAATACACTTATAATAGTATATTAATTGTCTCTTCAGCTGCATCTAAAATATTCAATGTAGAGCTAAAATGTAAATTGTGAGACTATATTTTTAAAAAATTTATAGACAACAGAAGTCTAAGACAAGAAAAAACACAGTGAATGATGATGTTTTAGAGGCATTTCATTAACATGAAAAACAAAACAAAGATACCGTTTAGAACGCTATAGCTCATACAATTGTCCTTCACTCTTTTGCTGGCTATACATGCTGGGTCATAAAATCACATTTTTCACACTTGCAAATAGTTATCTGAATGCAAAATAGAATCTGCTAATTAGGAACACTAGCACAAAATAGAGAAGATATAAATGAGTTAGAGACCATATTTCCGCCTTTTTTTAGCTCCTCTGCCAGCAAATATTGTCATGAAAGAGGAAAAACATTTTGCAGCAGCATTCCAAAGTGTCAAGAGCCAGTCACAGTTATGAGAGTGGTGGTATTCATGAGAGTGGAAGTTTCTTACTTCAGAGTATTTACCCCTGTATCTCAGCTTTGGAAACCCAGGCTTCTTTTCCAGTGTGTCTTTAGCAAGTAGAGAAAGTAACATTGAACCCAGTGGTATCTTCTTGGTCAGTTGTGATCTTAGAAACAGTATTATTATGTTGAGGGATTTTTGCCTTTTCCTGAGTGACATTCTTGAAAGCTTAGCCTACAACTTAGTTCTGCACTCCTAGTAATTTTATGACCAGCTATCTCCTTTAATCAAATTCCTTTCTTCTTACAGTACTTGGAGAATTTCCTATTTCCTACACTTATTCCTGACCAATAAAGGTATCTACTATCATTGCTTCTAACATTTTTTCTGCATATCTTAGATATGCATATCTGCCAATACAAGAAAAAAGAATAAGACAAGAAAAAAGAAATAAAATATATGAGAAACAGAAAGGAATTAAACAAACTGTAATTATGTGCAAATGATACGATTGTTGACCTCTATGCCCATTAAATCAAGCTTGTTATTATTGTGTTGGACAAATATCCACGTTCTTACTGATTTTTGTCAGTAGGGTCAATTACCGTGAAAGGCGGACATATTAAAAAACACTATTTTGGTGATATACTTGCCTATCTGTCCTTGCAGTTATTTATACATTTTTGCTTTACAGATTTTGAAGCTGAGGTATTAGACACATATATTTGAAATTGTTACATATTTGTTGTATTTTAAACTGGCTTTTGTCTCAAAGTATACTTTATCTGATACTAATAGTGTTATATAATTGTCTCTCATTACTACTTCTTTTAGGTTTTCTTTTTCAAACATTTTGTATTTTCATGCTTTCATATGTCTCTTGTTTGTTTGTTTTACAGTCTCTTCTTA